CTGGCCCTCCCCCGACGCCGTCGAGATCGCGGTCTGAATGACGTAGTTCGCGAAGCTGTCCGTCAGCAACTTGGGCAGCACCTGCGGCTCCGTCAACTCATCCACGAGGAGCTGACGGACCTCCGGCGAGGCCGTTTTGAGGCACTTTTCAATCACGTTGCTGCTGAACTTATTACAGGAGAGTTCGGCGACGTGGTGGAGGATTTGTCTAATGATCTGCTTGGTGTAGTCGGTGGATCGTGCCTCCGGGTTGGAAAACCCAAGATCCTGGTGGCGGTCCAGAATGAACTGGATCACGTAGTTTCCAAACGAGTCTTGGACAAGCTCCAGGGCGTTGGCGAGAACGGTGTTAATGATAGAAGAGTAATAAGGCTCCGGGGCCCATTGCAGGCACTTTTGGACAATACAACAGCCTTGGCGATTCTTGCAAATCTCAATACACCGGTCCGCAATGTTTTTGTGGATACATTTATAAATAATATTCAGCATTTCCCTCTGTTCAAAATTGTCAACTTCCTTATAAAGCTCATTGAGCCGAGTTGATGCAATTAGCCTCGTTAAAACGTAACTTCCATTAATATCCATAGCTAGCTCTGCCACATGATCGGATAGACGCTTAGTTAGCATTACGAATTCCTCTAGCGTTGTAAGACTGTCGACAACTTTTTGAAGCACTCGACCGCCGTTAGTATCACACGCAATTGAAATGATATCAGCGCTGATCTGCTGTATTAGCAACATGAACTCCGAATCCTTTGTTAGGAAATTGGATTCTTCATCCTCGGCCTTCTGAAGCCGCGCCGGTTTTGTTCCAGTGATTAACAGCGAAACTATATGCCGCATCAGCTCGCTGCCGTTAGGATCCATACAGAGCCTTCGGACGGAAGCAATCGCCTCGTGGACAAAGACATTTCTGAAATGGATCTTAGCCTTCACAGCTTCACCACCGTCTGCATGAAGCTGCTGCACTTGATTACATGCATCTGCTACCTTTAATGCATCTCGTAAACCGTTAGCATCTTTCGTACATTTAGTAATTAACTTTCTGAATTTTTCAACCTCACCATCTTCGGAATCCAATTCATCGTACAGGGGAATATTAGAGGAGGAAAGGTCCTTCTGAAGTTTCCACGCGAGTTGCTTTATATTAGTGTCAATCTCTGCCAATTGCTTTACTAATGCAAGACGCTGCGAATAAAGGGAAGCAATCGCTTCTTCCTCAGATGACATCTTACTTTCTTGTAGTTTAACTAATACATGTGAAAATATGAGTAAAGTGATTCAAAAGTAATAAAAATTGGATGAGTTCAGTCATGTAGGTAAAAAAAAAGGTTCTCTAAAACGAAAAGAAGCATTAACATGTTTTTTTTTTTTACGTGCTGGTAATGAGCATTTTGCCTAAATCAAGACTCTATCACTGATGCTAAAAGGGTTCACAACGCGTTGCCTAAAGCTCCAGCGCAGCCATGGCGGTGGAGGAACTCGGTGAACCGCCGTTCTCGCAAGATGTCCAAACATCATTGAATTCAGGAAGAATACTAAAACTGTGAATTTTTTTTATACACGGATATAAGCCTATTGGTACCGCATAAGTATTAGATATACACTAGGTTGAGCAATTCATAGAAAGATGTCCAGGTCAATTGACAAAGGTTATCAATCAGGTCTTGAGAAACAGGATGTTGATCAAACTAGAAAAGAAATGGAAAGTCTGACGCAACATGCTGAGTGCCTTGACACCACATGTCAACTTCTTGTAAAAAGGAATAAACAGAGACAATTAATAGATTACTCGTATATAAATAAATATATATATACATACCACGCAGTCAAGACAGGGTATGCAACATCACCAAAGGGCCAATAGAAGTCTAGATGCACACCAGCTCCACGAATGCTCGGAATCGTCAACTTTAGAAACTGCTTTTTAGCAAATCTCAAAAAGAGTCTTCATGTACCAGACCCACACATTGATACTAAGGAATTAAGATGATTTGGAATAAAAAACGCAACAGATAAAGAGAAAATGTAACGCATTCTATCTAAATTGTCTAAATACTATGATGCCGTTTAGTTGAGTTTACAGGCTGCGTGGTGGCGTTTCTTTCCGACAGCTCACCAGTGGAAGAACGCGGAGCCTGATTGAAGATCAGCGAACCGACGCTCGTAATCGCCCTCCAAAAGCCGCGACTCGATCTTCCATTCTCTACGGCGGGATCGCTAAGCAAAGGCCCCGCTTCAAATTGAGGCAGTACCGGAGGATGCGAGAGAGGCTCGTCCGCCGCCGCCTCCTCACTTTCCCCGTTTTCCTCATTTTCGAAAAGAACCGATGGGTTGCTGGGTTGGACCATGTGATCCCGCACAGGATCGTTTTCCTGGCGTGTGGCGTGCGGCTCGGCATCGTCGGGTTGAATTGGAAGCGGTTGGACCTTCTCCCGGCCGTTTGGAGTCGCCTTGGGGTTCTGAGGTTTGCGTGGGAGTTGTGCTTTTTTGGTCTTCGGTCGTGTTCGTTTTCTTCCCGGCCTCGTCTTTATCCTCCAGGAGTCCGCGCTGTCTACGCTGCTCAGCTCTTCGGTGCTGCTTGGGTCGGAAGAGAACGAGAAGGAGGATAAATTCTCCATAAAATCATCACTGCTCGTGCTTTGGTGGAGATACTCGCGAAGAAAAGAACAGCAGCTGCGCAGCGCCACGAGAATATGTGCGGCTTCTGCCTCATTTCGGGGATCGGATATCCTCCCAGACCCATCCGCAAGGAGAAATCCGTCGAAAGAGATTAAAATCGATCGATCGATCTGCGGCGCGCTGTTGGAAAAGGCCGCGGTCTCGTTCTTGACGCTAGACTCCGAGGACGACGAAGGAATTGGCGGAAGAAAAGAAAGTTTAGATGGTCGCGTGGGTGGGGTACCGTTGAGGCCTTGCAACGCACTCTCGCCCTCATCGGCGATGTAAATCAAACGACGCTTGACCGAACTCATGGGTTGTGCATCAAAAGAATATATATATATACAGAAAGATGACTTTTCGCTTTAGTTAAAAAGATTACAGACTCGGGAAATCGCACATTATTCTTCACAAATAGAACACGCTATACACTCATAAAAGTCTTCAATAAAATAATATGCCGGGTAGCCTTTTTTTTTCCTCCTCATAGATATTACATTAAAAACTCAACTCTTTAAATTTAAAGGGTCACTTTTTATTTTGACCCTTTTCAGCTTTTTTTAATAAACTTAATAAACCTAAAGAGAAGACACAAGAGACCGCTCAACGGTTAAATAATAATAAGATAATGCAAAGTCTTGATTCGGAAAAGAGACTCGCAAAAGTATAGATCCTTACAAATTCACAATGAAATAATGAAGACCCATATTGCTATTTGACAGCATTCATCACATTGGTATCAATAGACCCTCACCCTCGGACGGCCCGCTGGCAGCGAAGCACGCCTTGCGAAACGCTCGCCAGGCTTGGCGCCAACCGCTTGGCGGTGTTGTAATCCTCCAACGCGAGCTTCCACTTCTCCATGCCCTCGTGGGCGATTCCCCGGCGGATGTAGGCCTTGACGTTCTCCGGGTCAATCGCGATCGCGGCGCTGCAGTCCTCCGCCATCAGCGCGTACAAGTGCGTCTGCTGAAAGCACGCGGCGCGGTTGGCGTAGCATACCGCCTTCTCCTTCGTCGCCGCCGTCTCCAGCTCGATCGCGCGGGTGTAGAACTGCGCGGCGAGCTCGTACTTGCCCTCGACGAAGAGCGAATTGCCAAGGCGCTTGGCGTCCTCCAGCGTCTTGCAAGCGGCGGGCTTCATCGTCTGGTTGCGCTTCCGCAGCAGGTGGTTGAGGGCCTGGAGCTTGTCCATTACCTCCTGGTTGGTCGGCTCGACCTTCAGCGCCTCCTGGAAGACGCGCTGCGATTCGTCTAGCTTGTTTAGGCTTTGGAGGGCGGTTCCCTTTCGAAAGTAGCCTTTGAGCCAGTCCGGACGCATTTGGATGCACATCTCGGAGTCCGCGATGGATTTCTCGAACTCCCCCAGAAACTGCCAGGAGGCCGCGCGGTTGGAGTACAGGCTTCCGGCGGCTTCTGGTTTGGGGTTCGTGGCGATGGCTTTGGTATACCAATCAATCGCCTCCTTGTACTTTCCGGCTTTAAAAGCCTCATTCCCTTTCAACTTTAAATCCTCCATCGTAGAAATCAATAAATAAAGCTTGATATATGGACTGATTTAGTCAGAATATATATTATATAATAATATTTACCTATTCACCAAAAATTGAGGGATAAACACAGAGGCAATATCGATGTCATGGTCATAAAACAAAAATAAGTGATCGCTTTCTGGTAACAGGAATAGCCTTTCAAATAGATGGGAGACGTAGACACAAAGGGGGTGATTGAATATTCTACACAAAAACAATATAATACAGGAAAGCGGAAAGGTAAATAATGAGAACTGCGATGCATAAAAACCCCACCCCTCTTTTAGATGCTAAAAATATCATAGCTTAGAAATAAGTATATGTCAGTAATAATAAATAATGGGAAAAAAACTGTTAGACGACTACGCTAGGAAAATATTTTGAGCTCATTATTCTCCTTCGTATGGGCAACCACAAAGCAATAGTGATCGTGAACCAAATTCCACTCATCCCAGTCGTCAACCATCTCCAGTTTGCTCAACCACCCCATGGTATCCTTTGGTACCGTCAAATAAAGATGCCGCATCGACATCGCCTTCACCGATTTAAACCCAATTTCTCTCCAGCGCTTTTCGTGATGTGCGGGGGTAGGGAAGTCCGCAATGCTCTTCAAATAGATCTCACTCCTGGATAAGTTCTCAATCATCATTTGACCAAATCGATCGTTCGGCTGCATCGCATCGTACGTGATCAACTCCACGGGGGTTGCCGCGCCCAACACGTCGTGAAGGGTTTGCCGCAAAAGCTCCGTCACGATGGAGGCCTCAATGTAGACGAAAACCATCTCGCCGAGAAGAATTGTCGGAATATCCGCTTTGACGCATTTCTTCAATAACTTTATGACATCGTCAGGGGCCCGTAAATCACAATCCATAAGGTGGTATTGAGAATCTATATAACGACTAAGAAGTGGGGTTTGTTTTATAATTGCCCGCTTTTCCTCAACCAGATCTTGAAAGTCCAGTTCGACATAGGCCGAAATCTTTACGTCGATTTGACTTTTTAAACGAAAGTAGAGGGTATCAACCCCTGCACCAAAGCTGATAATTTGAATTGGCTCACCGTTTACGCTCTCTGAGAAGTTCTTCACACATCTCTCAATGGCCGTCGTACGAAGCCATGTTCCTCTATTCATCAAAGGGCTGTTAACGATAGTGGTGTCCCTGGCAAAAAAATGCACAAAAGGGTCGTCCAAGTATTTTTTGTCAACACAATGTACCTTCCGAGAGCATGCATCTTGTGCGGTCCGCTGCAGTGCCATTGATAACAACAAAGTATAAAAGAAATCCTTATGTTCAAGATTCTATTATCGTGCGCAATGGTAAGCTAATTGCCAAGAAACGCTGTCGATTATGTGTCTCCTTTAATGGATACTTCGTGAATAAAAAAATGGAAAAATGAAAAATTTAAAGCATGATGGAAATAAAAGTTCAGATACACCATAATTCATTAAAACATGCGTAGTGATGCGCATACAAACCCTTAATTATTTATTTCGGTTGCCTGGGAAAGAAACAAGAAATCCAAGTCAGTTGAAAATTATCATTCGCTCCCTAATACTTTGAATACGCTTTCTCGTGTGCGTGTGTTTTATCTCCACAAAGGGAAGAAAAAAAAAGTGGTAATTGGCAACGTAACATGCCAATAAGTAGTATTTCCTCTTTAGAGACCATTTATAGCCTTGATTAATGAGAAATTTGTCTTTAAACACTCTTCAAATTTTCGTTGCGCGGCTACGCTGTCGCTATTAGCCAAGCTACTTTCCAGTGAAACATAGATTGCTTCAAAAAAGGGCCTTAACGATGGATATGGGCCTGAGACAGCGTCAAAGATACTAGAAATACAAGACAACGAGCTTCGCTTAGCAAAGCACAGAATCGCCTTGGAGACAATCTGAGAATTCGAGGTCGGGGACTTGCATAAAATTAGCGAATTCATTATAGTATTCAGATAATCTACCAGTACTTTTTTGTTCGTTGCCTGGGAGTATTCTAAATAATCTGAAACTTTTGTGGCGACGGTGATGCCCACCCTTTGAATGCCCCTCCGCTCGGTCGATAAGGCAAAGAGGGTGGCGGAGTGTAGAGAATTTGAATTGGGGGAATTCACAAAGGTTGAAATGAAAGAATCGGCGCACATATCCAACGCCATAAAGGTAGCCTCCTCCAGCTCTGGGTAGCAAAGCATTTTGGCGTCCATGTTACCCAGTATAAATACCAGGGTTTCGACCGTGGTATCCGCCAGAGACCGCACGTCCTCCTCTGGAAGAAAACAATCCAGCGCCTTCCACTGCGCCACCGAAACGATAAGATTCGCCATTGTGGTGATAAACCCGATCTGATCCTTTTCATGCTCCGCCGCACGCCATGTGATCACCGTTTGCATGGATTCGCAGCAATTTCGCATCACCAACTCCACAAAGTCCAATAGCAGGCGAATCCGCGCATTCTCCAAAAGCGGCGTCGACACCATAAAAACGACCCGAGCGCACTGCACGCACTCAACGATAAGCGCGTGCTCGTGAAACCGCGCGAAGCTGAGGTGGAGCAAATTCCGCATGGCGGCGAAGAAGAGATCAAAGGAGGCTTTGATGATATTCTGCCGGCCTATCGATTCAAAAAACCCACGCAGCGTGTAGAGGCAATCCAGCACCCGCTCCAAAGGACTCTCGCGCGTGACCGCAAATAGGGTCTCGAGCTCCTTCTCGAGCTCAAGCGGGTCGTGGTCGGCGAGGCAGCTGATAAAAAGGGAAAGAATCCTCCCTCGCGTCGAGCCCGCAAGCGCCGACGACAACGGCTGACGAACGTACCTCGCCAAATACTCAAATTCCGGCAAAGACGCGACGTACACCAGGACCGATGATTTCTTATCGGCAATGCTGTCGAGAATGCAGTCCACCGAGCGCATCACCCCAAGGTCGAAGGGAAAGTCTCGGACGCATTCAACGGCGTATTTGAGCGCGCAATCCACCACCCGCGCGCCGCCGTCAAAGGCCTCGGCATAGAGCAGGGCCGAATCCTCGCGATCGACGTAGGTCCGGAGGTATCGATGAAAAATCTCCGCGTAGGCGGCGGCCACCGCCGCGCTGCGGATGGGCAATCGCGAAAGGTGCGCGTAAAAGGACAGAAACGACGCCATCAAGCACACCAGGGAGTCGTCCTCGCAGGCGGCGAGGTGGTCGAAAGACCGCGGGATGCAGGGCTGCTCGCCCTCCGCGCCGTCGGCGATAAAAAAGGCGATGACCCGCAGGACGATCCAAATCCCCTCGCTGAGTCGCTCCACGAGGGCGGAATCCCACCCCGCGGGGGCGCCCGGGGGGGGAGCGACGAAATGGAATCCCCCAGGCGCTGGAGGACGGCGATGAGCGTCGCGCAGCACTCCGACGGCGCCCCTCGGGCGATACGCGTGATGCGGTCGAGATGCGAATTGGTCAAGGACTCGGTAAGGCAGTTTTCGTCCTCCTCGACCACGCACGCGCTCGTTCGGCTGGTAAGAAAAGCCGAAAAGATGGAATGGCAGGACGTCTGGAGAAGCGGAAGACCCGCGCCGTCGACCTTCAGGGAGAGGTCCCGCTCCACAAAGGTCACCAACCCCACCCACGTGCTCATCGCCTCGTCCAGGGACGACATCACGTCCTCGTCGAGGTTGCTCGCCTCCCACGAGACGAAAAACCTCGTCATGTCGGCGAGTTTGGTCAGCTCGTGGTGTAAACCCGGCTGAAGAAAGCCCCCGGGGTGGTTGGAAACGAGACGGTAAAGCCCATTCGCCAGGGACGAGAGGAGGTGGTACTCCGCCGGGTCGTTCGTCGCGATAATCGTCTC